CTTTATGTGTATGTGTAGATGTATAACCTGCTCAGGCACTCAAATTCTTGAAAAGAAATTTTACCAAAAGTATATGCAGTTTTCTAAGTACATGTTTCTTTGAGAGTCAGATAGTTCACAAGATTTCTTAAGACAAACACCCCATTTTCTCTTCCTCAAGTTTACTACTTTCAGCTATTAACTAATTCTGATTTTTCAGTTTAGGCATTATCTATTGACTTCCCCTTGGTTAGTGATAAGAGTTTTTTTTTTATGAATTTGTTAATTTTTTCTTATACCATTTTAGCTTTGTGCTATCAGCAGTTCTCAAAGTATAATCCAAGGACCCATAATGTCCCCTGAGGCCTATGAGGTCAAAACTATTTTCATAAGAATACAAAGACTTTTTTCTTTTTTTTTTTAATCACTTTCTTTTGTAAGTGTACAGTGTTTTCCAGAGACCAAGTGATGTGATACTGTAAAGACCTGAATGTAGAAGCAAGTATAAGATCCAGCTGTCTTCTGTTGGTGCAAGAAATGTAAAACCATGCCACCCACTATTCTCATTTTATTTGAAAATACATATTTTCATAAAAGTTTTTTGTTGATATGCAATTGTTTATTATTTAAAAATAAATCAACAATTTTTTTTCTTGGATTTAAATATCCTAGAGTTTTGTTTTTTGTTTTTTTTTATTACTTAACCCTAATTTTTTCTATTATTTAACCCTAATTCTTTAATACAGCCCATGGAAGAGGAGTCAGGGCTCAAGTAAGTGTCAGATGAAGATGCCTGGCCGCCTATACACAGGTGGTAAGATGCTAACTCTACCAGCCTTCTGCTCTTTGGGTTCTTTCTTTCACTTCTAGAATGATCACCTCTTTCCCAGTACAGCTATGCATTTCCAAAGTCACCAGCCCACTACGGACAGGTGGAGGCTTCTCATTGTCAGAGGAACACTGTAGTGGACATTTGTCATTTGCAGAGGTCTGGGATCTTTTGAACATCTCCTTCTTAACCTTTGGATAGCCTGCAAATTGTGAGTCCCACATTCCCAAGATAGAATCATCATTATACTGCAGATATAAGAATTAGGTTCTCTTAATCTCATATACCTAAGTGAGGTTTTGATGTGAGCAATATGAAATAGGAGTGAGCATTTAGAGCTAATCTATCCAATAGAGGAGCCATTAAATAAAATTAAAAACTAAGTTCTTCAGTTGCACTAGCCACATTTTAGATGCTCAGTAGCCACATGTGACTAGTGCACATCATGTGGTTATGCTGATGATGTCCGTCACTGCAAAAGATCTGTTGCACTGTTCTGGTCTAGAAGGTGTGATGGCAGCTACTCTTCTGAGCACCTAACCTAAAGCAAGATCCACACAAAGCAGCAGGTAGCAGTGGCAGTAATGGTTTATTTAGAATGGTTCCATGACGCAGTTGGGTTTCTAGGGTACGTGCATGTACTTCTCCCACCCTCATGAAGATTTTATGAACTTTCTAAGATCCTCTAATCACAAATCCTTTTGTTTTTCACTTTGCACAACTCGTTTCCTATCCATTCAGAAAGGTTGATCAGTATGTAATTGCATTGGTTGGCATGTCGGAACTACTTCACTACTGCATCATAGGAAACTTTCTACTTTAAAGGTTCAAATGGTAATTAAATCAGTTGAGTGGACCCTTTTTACTCATTTACGAACTCTGAGTTACACTAATAATGCTTTTTGACAGTCTTGATATAGGAAAGAAAAACTAGAATAATCTGGTTGGCCATTTTACTCCTAAGATTCTTTGATCTTAATGGGCTTGATTTCTATTGCTAATTTAAGTGATCATAAATTGACTTATTAAATAATATTGAGATGAAATTATTATTACCACTAAGGAGAATTTAGTTTGGAGTATCTCCAAACAGATAATGTTAACTTAGAGGACAGTCATATCTCCAGGTTTTAATCATGTTGGTTTGATTATTACCATGTTGGTAATCAGAACTTGTAGAGCTCCTTAAGAGGAAAGAATTCTTAACCTGTGTACTGCCGTGAAGATTGCCTGCCACCAAGGCATAGCAGGAAGTTCCAGGCATCCCTCATGTTTTCAGGAGTCTGGAGTACTTGAATTGTGATCTCAGGGTCTATGGGAGGGCATCCAGGGCAGGGCAGACATCTTTAGGCTTATGGGAAGTTAAAAGACAGTATGGCCTTTTTACCTATCTTCCAATGTACTGTTTAATTTTTCACAGCATAATTGCCTTCTCTTTAATCTCTTCAAATATTTAAACCTCTGTCTTTGTTGGGGTCATGTTTAGCTACCTCAGTAATCTCAAAGGTCTCTGGTCCCTGTGAATTTCCTCAAAATAGTGCTTCTGGGACTGTAATTTCCTTATTGCTTATGCCTTTTCTATTGACAGTGGGGACTGAAGGAAAAAGAATTTGGCAAATTGAACAAAAAAGAATTCAATGAGTGGATGATCTTTTATGGAAAGGAGAGGTGGTTTCTTATACTCAAGGTAACTGACATTCAAAAAATGATGATTTTTTTTTTTTTGGATAATCATATTTCTGCTGCTGCTTTCAATATTGGTTTGCTTGGTTGAAATATTTGTTTGGGAAGTGCATCTCTTATGTTCCCCCTCATATGTTAAATTACGATAGTAAGTTCAACCTGGCAGGGCTATTTTGAAATTTGGAAAGAATGTAAATGAAAAATATATGCATGATGACTAACACATAGAAGGCTTTAACTCCCTGGTTAATTGTTTTGCTTCTTGAATGAGTGAGTCTTTCTTCTCTGTTACTGCTGTAAAATAATCACCTCCTTGGCACATAGCACTTAGTCTATGAGTTTACCCGGTTAAGCAGGGGCTGCAGATTTGTGAGCAATAACTACATTTTGTTTAACCCCAAGCCTTGAACTTGTTGTTCCCTGAGTAAGTTGGGTGGGCCTGCCACTGTTGACACATTGCTTCTGGCGGGGAACCTTGATAAAGCAAGACGATGGCAGTGGGAAAGTGTGTTTTAGTGATACATTTTGTCGTTGGACACTTATCAAAAGTAGAAAAAATACAGGAGGTCATTTCCCTTGAGGAGCTCCTTGGAGTTTTCCCTCTTCCTACTCCAGTCTGAACTGGTTACTCTCCAGCCCTTCTGCCGAGCTGTCACCTTGGGCCTTCATCTTCAGGATTCTCTGCCTGTCTTCTGTGCTTGATCTCCAATTTCTACATTCTTTGTCCTCCTTTTCTTGGTTTATTCCCACCTTATTTAAGCACAACCTTTAGTAGCTTCCTAAGGAAGGATAGATGAGAGGGAAACTTGGATTCTTGCCTGAAAATGGCTTTCGTCTACCCACGATTGATTGTTTGACTGGATATGGCTAAGATGGATATACTTTTCTTGGAGAATTTTGAAGGAACTATCACCTTTTAGCTTCAGTATTGCTTTTGAAAAGTCTGATACCCCTTTTTTTCCTGATTCTTTGTAACCTGTCAACCCCCAGAAGCTTTAGGGGTCTTTATCCTAGGTGTTCTAAAATGTCACTGTAATGAACCTGCTCTGGGGATTTCTTTATTCATGTTGCTGAGCACTTGGTGGATCTTTTTAGTCTGAATAAGTAACTTCAGTTCTTGGAACTCATTTCCAGTAGTTTTCTTGTTTCGTGAATATTCCATATATACATATACACACGTATATAGGTGTATATAAGTATATTATGTATGTATACACACACATATAGAAGTATATATATATTCTCTTTTTTCTTTCATGGATATGGTGACTTCTCTCTGTGAGGATGTTAATTATACTGGTTTTTTTTTCCCCCCTCCTGTTTTCCTTTTCTCTGCACTGTTTGTTTCCTCCAATTGCCACATTGTTTGGTGCTTTTTCTTTCATGTTAGAGACCCTCCTTTCCCCTCAGTGTGTATGCTCCTTAACTGTAGGTATTTAAAAATAAAGCCCTGATTGGAGGCTGAATGGATGGTTGTGCCTTGAGGACTAGTGGGCTTCCCCATAGCAAGATGGGGACCTCAGTAATCTGGCTGCTAGTCTTCTAGTAGCTGAGCAGGTACAGGGAGGGAGTGAAGGGAAAAGAGGGGTATGTCTTACCTTCTGTATGGCTTTAACTTAGTTTTCATTGTGGCAGCTCATCTGTTCCGAGCACCGAGTCTTTCTGGTTCAGCCCTAAGCCCAGCAGAATGCAGGCTTCTTCCCCAGGAGACCTTCCACACTCCCTGCCCCCATGGATGAGGCAGGTGCCTTTCTTTTTTTCCGATGGCACCTTGTGCCATCGGAACACTTACAATGCTTTTTTGGAATCGGATTGGATCTGTCTTGTTGAACCTTTTATTTCTAGTGCCAGGCACAGTAGATAGTAAATCTACATATGTTTGTATCCAGGGGCTTAGCCATCGGGTTCTGTGTCCCCTCCATCCCAGAAGACCAGAGGTTCATTCTCCTGAGAGGGAAAAATGGGACTTTTAATTCTGGCTCCTTCGACTTCTACAGAGCCAGTGGGCAGAAGGCACTGAGGAATGCCATTTTGGGGTTATTGACCCTGTTATCTAACTACATGAAAGTCTGTCAGGAGCACTAGTCAGAAACTGAATCAGCGGTCATGTTCCTAGGAGGTGTAGCTGAAATAAGCAAATACTTGTTTTTGTTGAGTACAGGTGAAAATGCGCAGATGCGGGATGGTTCCGATTCAGCCCTGGAAATGATCCCCCCCTAGGCCACGTGGACTCCTTTTTAAATTTTAACACTTATGAAAACTTTCATTTACATCTGTAAGTGTAATATTTTGTCTTTAAAAAATAGTCAAAAAATCTGAATGCCATTATCACACCTAAGGGGGGAAAAAATAACAATAAATCTGTAATATCAGTGATATATGTGGTATTCCAAGCAATTTAGTTTTAGAGAAAAAATGGTTCTAGTTTGTTCATCTGGTTTTTTCTTTCCTTATTTTAAAAAGTTGTAGTGTAACCTGAGATTTCCATTAGTCTACTCTGTTTCCATAGGTTTGCCTTTTCTGTGGTACAGCAGAGTCCAGTACATTATTATTTACTGACCAGATTTCCAGCCGGTTCTCGGTGTCACCGTCACTCTTCCCTGGTACCGCAGCACCCAGTTCCCTAGCTTTTAATAGGTAAGGAGCTTATGGATGAGATGTCAGGTTGCTTATCCATTACCAGTTTGGTATTTAGCTTCCCAGGTATGCTAAGTCAGCGTTCATTTACCTGCTCATCAGCTTCTAAAACACTATTGATGTTTTTTCCCATTTTTTTTTCCCTCATGGGTTTGTTTAAAATAACAAAACCAAAAAGCTTTAGTGTCTTTTAATTGGAGTTCAGGAAGGAGTGGGAAGTAAATACAGTCTACTACCATCTGTAACAGGAAATCTTCTTCACTAATATTGATTTGCCCTTTTCAATTATTTAAGGTTGCTAAAGACTGCAACTTCTTGGACTTTTTTATTGTCCTCAGAATGCAGAAGTCCAACCAACTTCTGTGGTGTAGATATGCCTCACCCACATGTTGGTCTTTTTTCACACAAGTGTTAAGTGTTAAAAGTGGGGGGCCTCCCCGGTGGCGCAGCGGTTGAGCGCTGGGTTGTGAAGTTGCCCGCAGCCTCTGCGGCACCGGTTCGATCCCCAGCTGCTCCCCGGCCACCGGAGGAGGGTCCCACATGGCGTGCAGACCTCTCCTGCCGCCCGCTGCTCCCCTCAGCAGTGTGCTTCGGTCCTTCTGCCTGTTCTGTTCCCCGCTCTGGCTCTGGTGAATTCTCTCACCCTCCCGCGCTTCTGACTGTACCCAGTGCTTGTATAAATAAATAAATAAATCTTTAAAAAAAAAAGTGTTAAAAGTGGACTGAAGAGGAGTCTGTAAACAGCCAGTAGTTGCTCCCCATGTGTGCATGCTTCCAGGTCTGTTAGCCAAATTTGCATTTGTTCCTTATTTGACAGGTTGTTAGTCCATGTGCTTATTATTAGAAATATCGCAAGCTTTCCGAGTCCAAGGTTGACTGTCCATGTGTCTCTCCTTGTCATGCCCTGTGTGCTCTGACTTTCCCTGAAGCTTTCCTAAGTCTTAACACTTTCCTTTTCTTTCCCATAGGATCATGGATTTCCCAGGACACTTTGAACAGATCTTCCAGCAGCTGAATTACCAGAGACTTCATGGCCAGCTGTGTGATTGTGTTATTGTGGTGGGGAATCGGCATTTTAAAGCTCACCGCTCCGTACTGGCAGCATGCAGCACGCATTTCCGAGCCCTGTTCTCAGTAGCAGAGGGAGATCAGACCATGAACATGATCCAGTTGGATAGCGAGGTAGTGACAGCAGAGGCCTTTGCCGCACTGATTGACATGATGTATACCTCCACCCTCATGCTGGGGGAGAGCAATGTTATGGATGTCTTATTGGCAGCCTCTCACCTGCATTTGAACTCTGTTGTTAAGGCATGTAAACATTACCTAACAACAAGGACACTGCCCATGTCTCCCCCCAGTGAGCGCGTTCAGGAGCAGAGTGCCCGCATGCAGCGCTCTTTTATGCTGCAGCAGCTGGGTCTAAGCATCGTGAGCTCAGCCCTCAATTCCAGCCAGAGTGGGGAGGAGCAGCCGGCCCCCATGAGCTCATCGATCCGCAGTAACCTGGACCAGCGGACACCCTTCCCCATGAGACGCCTTCATAAGCGCAAGCAGTCTGCAGAGGAGCGGGCCAGACAGCGCCTCCGGCCCACCATGGATGAGTCTGCCATTTCTGATGTCACGCCTGAGAATGGGCCATCGGGGGTTCATTCTCGAGAGGAGTTCTTTTCACCAGATTCTCTGAAAATTGTGGATAACCCTAAGGCTGACGGCATGACCGACAACCAGGAAGACAGTGCCATCATATTTGACCAGTCTTTTGGTGCTCAAGAAGATGCCCAGGTGCCCAGCCAGTCTGACAACGGTGCCGGCAACATGGCACAGTTGTCCATGGCCTCTCGTGCAACTCAGGTTGAGACTAGTTTTGAACAGGAAGCTGTGACTGAAAAAAGCGCTTTTCAGTGTGAAAATCCTGAGGCCGGCCTTGGTGAAAAGGAGCACATGAGAGTGGTGGTAAAATCTGAGCCCCTGAGCTCTCCTGAACCTCAGGATGAAGTGAGCGATGTGACCTCACAGGCAGAAGGCAGCGAATCTGTGGAAGTGGAAGGAGTTGTGGTCAGTGCCGAGAAGATAGACCTCAGCCCTGAAAGCAGTGACCGGAGTTTTTCAGATCCCCAGTCTAGCACTGATAGGGTAGGTGACATCCATATTTTGGAAGTCACAAATAACCTAGAACATAAATCCACTTTTAGCATTTCAAATTTTCTTAACAAGAGCAGAGGAAGTAACTTTAGTGCAAATCAGAACAATGATGACAATATCCCAAACACCACTAGTGACTGCAGACTGGAAGGCGAGGCCCCCTATTTGTTGAGTCCAGAGGCTGGGCCTGCAGGAGCGCCCTCCTCAGCCTCTGGCTCTCACGTGGAGAACCCATTCAGTGAGCCTGCCGACTCCCACTTCGTTAGGCCAATGCAGGAAGTGATGGGCCTGCCTTGTGTGCAGACTTCGGGCTACCAAGGAGGAGAACAGTTTGGGTTGGATTTTTCCAGGTCTGGTTTGGGGCTCCACTCCTCCTTCTCCAGGGTAATGATGGGCTCCCCAAGAGGAGGAGCCAGCAACTTTCCATACTACCGCCGCATAGCTCCCAAGATGCCAGTGGTAACTTCTGTCAGAAGCTCACAGATCCCAGAAAACCCTGCCAGTTCCCAGCTACTGATGAATGGGGCCACATCCTCGTTTGAAAACGGCCATCCTTCCCAGCCTGGCCCTCCACAGTTGACCAGGGCATCTGCTGATGTCCTGTCAAAGTGCAAGAAGGCCTTATCAGAGCACAACGTCTTGGTTGTCGAGGGAGCTCGCAAGTATGCCTGCAAAATCTGCTGCAAGACTTTTCTGACCTTGACTGATTGCAAGAAGCACATCCGTGTTCACACAGGTGAGAAACCCTATGCCTGCCTGAAGTGTGGCAAGAGGTTCAGCCAGTCCAGCCACCTGTATAAACACTCGAAGACTACCTGCCTGCGCTGGCAGAGCAGCAATCTCCCCAGCACTTTGCTCTAACCCCAGCTTCTTGAAATAGTGCCCACGCCGGTTGTAGGACTGAAATTAAATCTCATGGTTGGTGGCTAACGCCATTAGGTTTAGGCTTCAGGCTGCCCAGTGGCTCTTGCAAGTTTCCACGAGTAATAAGTAGAGAACTAATACTCGTAGCGCTTGTGCCCTTGCATTTCTTTTGAAATGCGCATTCTCAGAGGGATGAGATCCCTGAAACCAAGTTCTTCCTTAGGATTGAGTCAGAAAGTAGTTTGCAATTGATGTTGTTAAAAGTGGCACATTGAAAAATTAAAAATGGAAGTGCAAAAAAAAATTTTTTTAGCGATTTTTGTAAAACTCAAGCATTTAATTAAATTTCCTATACTCCTGGATAGGATTATATACCTGTATAGTGATGCAAAATGCACTTATGTGTAACCAGTGGCACTTTGTGTCTGTCTACAAGGAGGACCCTTGAAGACATGCCTGTCTGCCACAAATGCTTTAAAGTGTATCATGAGCTAGTCCTAGGCCTCAGAAAGTACTGTATTTTTTATTTTTGTCTGATTTGCAGTCACAGACACTGCACTCTGATGGTGCTGACACTGGGTCCAGAGGGAACATTCTCTGGACTACTAGGTGTATATACTTTTGAAGACATCACTAATGGACAGATGTTTTAACAATTTTTCCTGGTTTTAAAATCAGAGTTGTAAATGGAGTATGTACTTGTAGGGAGTGACAAGTAAGGTATTGTTTCTGTATGTGCTGTTTTAGCAATATTTTAACCAACTTGTATTACATATGTTACAGTTCCATGTTTGGAAGTCAGAAAAGAGCTAGTGTTTGTCTTGGTTCTGATGATATGGAGTCATGTTTTGTGGGACACGGGACCTGGAAGCTTTCTTGGTGCGTTTACCCATTGCCCATGCAGTCTGGCCCGACACACCTCACCCAGTGACAAACCCATCCATTCTCTGCTTTGCTTCTTCACACTCTGTTGCCTGAGGGGCATCTGTCCCAGGCCTAGATTGTTTTCGGTTACAAACTAACCAAAAGTAATGTCAGCCCCCTCTACCGTGGGTTTTATTACTGATACATATTGTGGTTTACAAGTACAGATGCAGAACTTTTGCTTTCCCCAACCCAGTACTGTATGTGTACAACTGTTGGTAACCCAGCCTTAGCAGGGTCCACACTGTAAGATGGTTGGGCAGCCCAGAGCATAGATGTCACCAGGTAGCATCTGAGACTGTTCCAGGAGACATCTGGGTCACTGCCAAGGCCTCTCTGGGCTCCCCCCGACTTCCCCAGCCTCACCTGGCTGTCTTCTGACCTCCTCGTGCCAGCAGAGCTGTGGTGGCACCTGTGTCTGGCTGCACCCTGGCTCATGTCTTCCCAGGGAATAGCACAGGTTAATGTGTCTGCAGAGTTTTAGTTCATGCATGAGCAGGAGTTCATTTTCTATCCTAGCTTTTTTAGAAGACACTGAACCATAGTGCATAATTGAGAGAAACCCTTCAGATGTTAGAAAGCTATGTAGGTATAGCCTAAAACAAAAATTAGTGTGTTTCCTCCTCTCAGTCTAGTGTGTGCAGTTAAACATCTGTCTGTGGATAAACTCATAATGGTCATAGCATCTCCTATGAACTGATTCCCAGGGAGGAAAGCCTAAGGGAAGCCTCTGATTCCTCTCCTTTGCAGCAGACGTGGGGAAGAGACGCTGGAAGAGATGGGATCACCTGGGGAATTCAGTTGTGTGTGTGGCTAATTGTTGGCAGTCATGTTCTGACTCGATGTGAGGCAGCTCTGCATCCACCCTCTGCATGACGTGGCGACCACTGTCTGGTCAGATTAACCTTGGGAGGCAGGTGGGTCAGCGTGGAGAACGAGAGGCCCGGCCTGGGCCTGGGGAGAGGAACCAGTGACACTGGGAAGGTGGTGGCCGCCCTCCTCCTCGGCCATTGCGAGGAGGTGCCTGGCTGCCCCTTCACCTCAGCTCGGGCTTAAGCAGACTTGGCTTTCGGAGGCTCCATACAGCGGCTGGAGCCCTGCCTCTCCACTGCTAGATGGAATCTGGAATCTCATCTACCTCTTAGTCTATCAGTTCCTACATGTGAGAAGCAAGCTGTGGGCCAGAGTCCTTGTACACGCTGTAGCACTTAAAATATTAATTCAGAGGTTCCCTGGAAACCAGCTCCAGGGTCCTTATGATCATAGTTCCTACCTGAATTCTAACTGGTATCGAGTACCTGGATTTTGTTGGTTAGCCTTAATGAAAGCCTGGCATAATCATTCCTGGTGATTAAATATCAAAGTTCTGTCAGGGCGCCTATGTCAGTGGTGCTATGCTAGCCAATAGGTGAGATTTTGAAATAAAAAACTTACCACATTCATGCCTCTATCTAATATGTGCTTTTTCTTTGCTTAGGTTATTAAAGTTAAAGCAAAAAAGGGAAGTACTACTACTCTGCTAACCCTGCTTTTACCTGTTTTTTTGTTTTGTTTACTTTACCTAGAAAGTCCGCTAATGCTGTCAGTTAAGTAGCAATTACTGGTTGCTCCCCTCAATTTAGTCCCTCTGCCCTCCCTGCCCTTTGTCTTTGAACGTGTAAGGCTTTGTTCTCAGTCCACCCAGTTTCCTTCTTCGAGGACCTGCTTTCTGCTGCTCACTCACCTGCCTCCCAGGTTGGAAGCTCCGTCTGCCACTTTGGCTTGGCTGTGGGAAGAGCTGGATCCTGCCTGCTTTGGCAGGAGCTGGGCCTTGGTAGTGCCGACGGCCAGGCCTTGGGGTGGAGCGAGTGAGGAGATGATTAGAAAAAGGGCATCACTCCACGGGCGGCACAGGTGGGGGTGGGAAGAAGTGGACAAAGGAGTGCGAAGGTGCTGAAACACATTTTTAAAACAAAAATTAAGACGCCTACCTACCTGGTTAGTCTTGACCGAGAAAAGTGTTGTGACCTTAGGTAGCTCTCTTGGCTGTGCATATTTAATTGCAGCAGCTTATTTAATTGGGTCCAGGCAGCAGATACAAGATGGTGACCACGGGGTGCGGCTGTCCTAGCCTCCACGAGGGACACACGAAGGAATGTGAGCAGAAGGGGAGGGGTGGAGTGGCTTGGGCAGGTTCTGGGAATGAAAACGCCGAGGCGTGAGGACTGGGTCGGGCAGCAGCCCGCAGGGCACTTTCCTCAGGAGGAAAAGTAGGCAGTTGCTCCTTGCTTAGCTTCTCCCAGTTACAGGCAGAGACACTCTTGCAGAGAATCATTTAATTAAACGCTTTGGGCGCAGATGTTTCCAATCACAGACGCAGCAAGCACAGCCCTCAGCACCAGCCTCCCTCCACAGAATCAGCACAGATCAGGTTTTCTTCCTTGGCTCCCGTCCTGTGGGTCCGAACCAAGCCTGGCGGCGTCTGTTTCCTCCTGACCCTCCAGGTTCCCTGTCTGGTTACAGCTTGAGTTCACTGGGCATCGGCTCCCCTCGCAGGCCAGCCAGCAAGTTGTTAGCGGCCAACAGAGACATGGTGTTTCGGGTTCCGTGGGTGGCACTGCCAATGTGGGGCAGGATCACTGGAAAGGAGAAGGGAGGTAAGAATGGTGGCTCAAGAGCCTTTTTAAAGCAGGCCTTTAGCAGGGTGAGGGTTTGCCAGTAAGAACAAAGAGACCCTGTCTCGATTCGCCTTCCTACACCGTCACTCAACATCCCGCCCCCTGGGGCTGAGGGCCAGAGCAACAGGAAAAGGACTCCAGGCTATGAAACACGGGCAAGGGCGACAAAGGGTATGTATCCTAAATACCAGAATGTCAAGCTAGCAGAGCGCTAGAGCCCTTCAGTTACTGGATGGTGAGACGTGCCAGTATGGCTTAGGAATTTCTGCATTGTCATCCACTCCCTGCACCCCTGAAAGTGATGCCACAGGGCTTCTGAGCTATACAAATGACATGAAATGCTGGACAGGCGAGCTCCCTTCGGCCCCTCTGTGGAGCAAGTGAGGTCACTTGTCCCCAAGGAACACCTTTTCAAGTAGTACCCAGGAGCCTGAGCTCCACTCCCAGGCTCTGGGGGATGGGGACAGCTGTCCTGGCTGGGGGCAGGCCTGACATCACAGCTAGTCCTTTCAGGCTGGCTTGGGGGGTGGGGACGGTAGAGTTCCCAGGGGCTACAAGAATGGGAGCATTCATGGTGGGGAAGGCAGGCCGTGGCCTTCCCTCTGGGTTTCCATTCCATAAAGGAACTAAAGGACAGGGACAGGCCCAGGCGACCTAAGCATTCATGGCTACATCTTAGTCTGGAGACAAACCACACCAGCTGCCTGAAGAGAAGCTGATATGAAGAACTGTTAACTAGTGTGGCCCTGGAAAGCAGCGTCATCTGGGAGCGCGTTAGAAGTGCATATACCAGGTCCCAGCACCCAGCCTGTGGAAGCAGCAACCCTTCGGGACCCGACACCCCGCATTTGATCAGTCCCCCCAGGTGACCACCACAGGTAAGGTCAGGCAGTGACTGCCCTAGGGCTGGGGTCGGGATGGGAAAGGCAAGAGTGAAGGGAGGCCCTGCTGGAGCTGTAGCCCATGGCAGCGCTGACTGGCTGGGACCTTGTCCCTGAGGGGGCACATGGTTAACCAAACGCTGCAAAAACTAAACCAGATTCGCCAGCTGCTACAGGGAGGAGCTGCTGCCACCAACTGAAGTTGCCAAGTGCCGCTGACAGATGTGGAGGCAGGAGGTTTAAGTCCTGCTGCCTCCAGGCTCCTCCCTGACCGGGCCCAGCCCCTGCAGCACAAAGCAGAATATACAAAGATGGGTTTGGAGCCAAGGGAGAAAGGTTTACTAACTGGCATGCGTTGTAAAGGCACAAGGTACAGTAATTCCACCTTTAGTTGCTCACATTTAGACAAACAGGTTTACCCAGGACGGGAGGGGCGTGGGGATAGCTGGGGTGACCGCCACATCCACTGTTTTTAAATAAACCCGGTCACCCCTACAGTTACTTCTCGAGGGACACGGACCTAGTGGAGCAAGCGCAGAAGGCCTCTCCCTGCCACCAGCGCTGCTAACTATAAACACGTGGTCCCTGCCTGTGTGGGTGCCCTTGAGGTAGCCTCACACCCGGCACCTTCAGCCCTCTAGCTGCCTTGGTCCTACAGTGGTGGCGGGGACCACACTGGAAAAGCACAGGTCTGTCTTACCACAGTTCTTCAGGGTCAGGAGAGGGTGGTTTGTAGGCAGTGGTTCCGGGGTCGTCACATCCAGTCCAGCCCCTGCAATCTGACCACTGGTCAAGGCCTGGTACAGGTCGTCCTGGTTTACGACGTCTCCCCTGGGAATGACAGTAGGATGTGAGTGCCCCCAAAACTCCCTCCACTCAGGTCACCTTTAGGGCAGAACAACCCACAGAATGAATTTCTCCACCAGTCTGGGTCTTGGCACTGACTTTCAAACCAGCTACAGTAAGTCATACAGGAAGATGGTCTTAGACAACCCAGACCTGCCACTTGTGACTTTAGCAAGTGTGTCAAATTCTCTATGGCCCCAAGTTCTTCCTCTGTCAGACAGGGGGTACCACCTACTCCCAGGAGGACATGAAGGGTTCAAGTTTACCTATACCCACTATTGCATGAACACAGCTCAAAAATCTGCATTTGTTGGGTCCCTTCCAGGTGTTTCTGATCTGGTTGGTCCCCAGAGCCAGAACCACTGGCTGAAAACCACTGCAGCTTGCCATCAGGCACCTGCCAGCTGGGGGCAGAGACCCAGGATAGACCTAACTAGACCCATCCACGTGAGCAGCCATCCTTCCTGTGAATGAACCACTGAAGTAAAGAACAGATTTGCTAGAGACTAAAAAAGAATAACAACCAAAGTGCAGTGCCCTGCACTGTACCCGCTACCTGTGGGGGCTCAGTGAGAAGCTATGGCACTGTTGGCTGTCGGTGTGAACCCTGTGTTCCTGCAAGTTTCGCTCCACCCCCTAGCCTTTTAGCTAAACATTAGTGACTACAGCTGCCTCTGGGTAGCCAAGCTCTCAGGTGACCTCATCCAATCCCTTCCCTTAGCCTGTCTACACCTCCACCTGCTAGGAAGCGGGTGGAGAGGCAGAGAAGGCAGATCTGCACCCATACAATGCTCAGGCACCTGAAGGTCCTCTGGAGATATTTTGAGGAACCAAGACAATTGGGTTTTGAGTCTTACTCCCCAAGAGCACAAAGGTTCCAGGTTTTACTGACACATGGACCCAAGTGCAGCACAGTGAAGGCCTCCAAAGGGCCCTAAGGATAGTAAAGTGATGCAGAGTTACACAGGCCTGCCCAAGGCTACCTGCTAACTCGCTGCCATCATGCCTTCAGTCCCCAAACCAACGCTACTGTGTGCTGGGCCCAAGCAAGGCTGGGGGTTCTGAGCATGTTCTGAGAGCACTTCCCCCCAGCCTGGAGTACATGTGCATGGCCTTTACTGTATTTCTGGCTTGGCTGGTAGATTGGTTTATGTAGAGTGATGAGCTCAGCCTGAGTCTTCTCGACAATCCAGGGGGAAGGAAAGCCAGTCCCTCTCCCGGACTGCCCAGTGACCCCCCCCCCCCAAGATGTTGGGAGGCCCCAGGCTAACCTGCTGATATTGACAAGCACAGCCGTTTTTTTCATCCGCTGGAAGAAGTCCTTGTTGCAGAGTCCCTTGGTGGCAGGCGTTAAGGAGCAGGCCAAAACGATGAAATCAGACTCTGCGGCCAGCTGAGAGGTGGGCACTAGGGGAAGACAGTTAGATGCAAGAGGGTGGGAGAGTAGACCTGTCCTCCTCCCGTAATGGAAACTCCCAAGATGCTTCCTGAAGGCCTGGAGAACTCTGATAACTGTACAAAGTCAATAGCTGCTTATGGGATTATGGTATATGACATCATTCACCCATCCCTTGGTCTAACCCATCCCCTGGTCTAACAGATGGGGAAGTTGAGGCAGAGAAGGGCAGAAACTTGTTCAAGATCACAGAGGGGTCTGGCCACTTTAGTTCTTTCTTCTTCCAGGCCCGCTATGCCAAGGAGGCGAGGAATGGCTGAAATCCAGCCTGCCCTCAACAAGCTATCAACCCTACCAGGGGGCTAAGCCCACCTTGCACCTGGACGGAGGGGCACATGCAGGCTGGGGGACAGTGCTCATGAGTTTACTAAGGAAACTGAGTCAAAGAAAGTTTCCAGCTCTTCCTGACATCTGTCAGCACCCCTGCTGCTCCCTTCACACGCCACCAATGGTGACGGTCTCTGAAAGACAGGACATCAGCGCTCTCCTAGCACTGAGAGAACTCACCGTGGGGCCTGGGTAAGCACCCTCAGGAGCCGATACATGACATCACACCTAAGGGAGGCTGCAGGTCCTGGGAAACCTACAGCTGCTGTGTTCATACTTTGTGTGTAAATGCTGCCACCACAGAAAACAGGGAGAGTCCCTTGACAGATGGGCTCCTGTGGAAATCAAGGTTTTACTTACCAAACTCTGCCTGGAATTCTGCTGCTTCCTGAGGTCTGGGCTGGCGCCCGGAGTACAGAAATTTCTGGACACCAAATGGTTTCAGACGCCGAGCAATGGCCTGGCCTGGTGGCAAGGAGTCAAGAGTCATGGCTTGTCCCCAACCACGTACCCCTCCCCCACGCTCCCCACCCCTCAGCAGCTCCAGGGCCAGGGAGGCCCTAGTGGCAGATCTATCAGCACAGCCCAGCGTTTGCTAGTCCTGTCCTAGGGTATCTAGCCCTCAGCCAGGCCAGTGCTCACACAACCAGCTCCATGGTCCACAAGAGAGCCTTTCACCTCTGGAGGCAGATGCTTTCCTTACACGGTCCAGCCTTCTAGGGCTACTGCTAACCTTCCCTAGAGCTGGACCTGGCATCCTACAGAGGTCTGACCAAACAGTCCCCGCCCTCCTTCTGCACCCTCTGCTTCTCTGTTTTTATTTCTTTCTTTAGAAGAACTGGACTATAGGCCAGAAGTGCAGGGGGTAAGAGGATTCACCAGAGACAGAGTGGGGAACAGAGCAGGCAGACTGATGAAATACACTGCTGAGGGGAGCAGCGGGTGAGTCAAGAGAGGTTTGCTGTACCATGTGGGTAGCTCCCTGGCTGGGGACAGAACTCAGGCTGTGGTGGTGACAGCGCTGAGACTTAATCCGTAGGCCACCAGGGAGGCTCCCTCTGCTTCTCTTAATGCAGCCTCAGTCCCCATTTGATTTTGTGGTGTCATTGCCAAGCAGCCAGTTCTCCACAGAGACCACTTCACATAGACTGTGGCTGAGACAGATCCAGACAGTTAAATTTTCAGATTCTGAACATGTGCTGAAGCTGGTAGGGTCCTTTAAGCATTTTTTTTTAAAAGACATTTTATTTTATTTATTTTTTAAGATTTATTTATTTATTTATTTATACCAGCACCGGGTATAGTCAGAAGTGCGGGAGGGTGAGAGAATTCACCAGAGCCAGAGCGGGGAGCACAGCAGGCAGAAGGACCGAAGTACACTGCTGAGGGGAGCAGCGGGCGGCAGGAGAGGTCTGCGCGCCATGTGGGACCCTCCTCCGGTGGCCGGGGAGCAGCCGGGGATCGAACCGGCGCTGCAGAGGCTGCAGGCAGCTTCGCAACCCAGCGCTCAATGGCTGCGCCACGGGGAGGCCCACCAAGTGAGTTCTTAAGTAGCTTCTGGCTGGTTTGCTGTTTTGGCCTGTGTTTTATGAAGCCACGTCTTTGCATTACAGATATCCCTACTGTATGCCAAAGGCACTGATAACCCAGGGCCCTTTCCAGGGGATTGTTGCAGAGGTGGAGACTGAGCATGGACGCTGGGGCAGGCAAGCAGTCGGGTGGAGCCTCACCTATGCGTCCCAGGCCGATGATGCCCACGGTGCTCTGCGAGAGGCCATAGCCACACATCCACAGGGGCTTCCATGAGGTCCAGCCACCACTGCAGGGAGGAAATGAGGCGGGTGAGCCCTGGACTTGTACAAGGATGAGGCCCACTGGAACTCACAGGCCCGGCACTGCAGGGCCAGGCCTATGGTCCAAAGGGTAGACCCTGGCCTCCAGGTCAGAGAACTGAGAGTGACATGAGGAACACCCACAGTCACTCAGTGCTGCAGACAAGCAGCAGGAGTAACCGTCCTTACAAGTCAGTGGAGACACAGATCTGATAGCAGAAGAGACCTGAGAATTTCCCATCCCATTCTGCAGGTGGCGAAACTGAGACCAGAAAGGGAAAGCTGCCTGAGAACAAAAAGCCAGGTGAGAGCTGAGAGTAAACTCAGGTTTGGGATTCCAAAACCAGAAAACAGGGCACCAAAGAAGCAACAAGAAATGAAACCATACCACCCCCCTAGCTCCCTGGGTGGAAAGGCAAAGTCACCAACAATGAAGGTGCTGGCTCCCTTGGTCAGAGGGGGAGCAGGACACTGGGTCTCATCAGCCCCTCAATACCTCTGCCATACTCCACCCTACCCCAGAGCTCTGGACTCTCCAAGGGCCTGCATTTGCATGCCTTCTGGACTTCGCTCCAGCGCTTCCTGCTCCTGGAATGCCTCCCCAGCTCTGGATATACAGACCAAAATCCCTGATTGAAACCCTCAGGCCAGACTTGAAAAGTTTTCAGCTTTAGAAAGGTGACGTGGTACTTATGCCGTATTGTACAAAACATGCACAGCAGCGAGAAGGGGTGGGGAGTACTCTATCAAACACATGAGTGTTTCTGCAACAACACATGAATATTCACACTGAGTAGGAGAAATAAAAAACAAAATATAGCCTCCTGTTATTTCTGGTCAGGTTTGGCTAAGAAAAGATCGATGAACCTTCAGTTTTCAGAGCTTTTGGGATTCTCGAATGCAAGGTGGGATGGTGAACAGTCCCTCTAAGTGCTCAGGAGCTACTTCCTCCAAGAAGCCTTCCCTGATCCACACTCCTTCCACCTGACTCTGTTCTCACAATTTCCCTTCAGGTTGTTTATTTCAGCTCTGCCTAGTACTTTGGTATTTTGGCTGATTCTGCCCCCCGCCCCAAATTATATGGCAAACATCTGGATTTAGGGTCACGCCTGGGCCAGGACCATGCTAGGTGTTCCAGGAACTGGCTCTGTTAGGCAGAGCAGACTTTCCCACCAGGCGCCACTCACTTCTTCACCTCCTCGATGGCCTCCGGCAACCGGCGACAAGTGGTGAGCAGCAGGGAGACGGCCAGTTCCGCTGTGGCGTCTGTCAGGACGTCTGGGGTGTAGCCCACACGGATCCCGCTATGAATCAAACACTGGTGGTAACACTGGCCTCAAGCACCTTCACCAATTTCCATGCTGCTGCTTTGCTCCCTCATTGCACTGCCTGCCGGGAAGCTCAGAGCTGTAAATGAGCACTTACAGGTGGTGAGCCCCCAGTCCCATTTTCATTATCTCCCACTTTGAGAAGAATATGAAGGTGGAAGACCAGGCCCCAGAGTATGGGGAAAGAAGCTACTTAGCCTTTCTGAAGTTCCTCATCCAGAGGGAAATAATAAGACCCACCTGTTCTACTCAGGGGATTGTTGTGGGGGCAAAACCAAAAAGCATATGAAAACGTGCTACCTGCACAGATGGTCCCACTGTTTCTGACCTACCATGCTTATATTAACTGGCCTGTGCGGGTGGGGGCAGGCTTCGTCCATCAGCCACCTCCCATTCCCACTGAATGACGGGGATATGACATGAAACACAGCTCCTCTTCCCCTCTCTCTGGGCCCCTCACTCCTGCCCCCTCCCAGAGCCCCAGCTGCATTTACCGCTTCTTGATTTCATCCAAAGCCAAGTGGTCGACACCCACGGACAGCGTGCTGATGACTTTGAGATTGGCTCCTGTGTGGAAGAAGCACTGTCTGTGTCTCGCCGTGGGCTTCAACGCCAGACACTGGGGACCACTGCGGGATGCCTGCTTACTGCCGTGTTAGAACCAAAGACTGACATCTCTGTATCTCAGTGAAAACTCCAAATGCTGCTATTTGACAGGCACAGACTGCAGGCCAGGGAGGTTAGGCGGCTTGCCTCTGTCACAAGGCGCCAAGTGGGCCTGGACACCGAGGCCCACTCTTAACAGCTTGCCTGTCCTTCGGCCACACCTGGAACCTCCCTGTGGAAACTCTGAGAGCTCTCAGAGGCAGCTGGGGCATGACCCTCATACCCTCACCTCTAAGCTCTGGGCCGACACTGAGGCACAGGTTGGCTCATCACTGACCCCCTCCTAGCAATCTCTATGCATGAACCTTGTCTCAAAGCCATTGTGACAACAACCTCACAAGGTAATGTTTACCTTGCCCCCTGGCTGAGACTAAGGTAACTCATCATGGGGTCTGCTGGTACTTGGCACTAAGCCACCTTCTCCCCACATGGGCCTTGCTCCAGGTCATAAAGCCGGATTGCTGCAGGGGCTGGACAAGGACCCAGGGCTTTGGGTGCTCTCCCTAGTACCTGGCTACCCTCACGCCTCGGTCTTTGCCCTTCTAGGGCCTCCCCCCCCGCCGAAATTCACGGCCAAAAGAGAGAGCAATGCATGTGTCGGAAGGGGAGCCCACAACCACTCCCTCAGGCCTGGTAGTGCAGTGAATGCCCTTAGAATGTCCTGCAGACCTGCTCGGGCAGCCAGCTGCAGGCTGATGTGCCCCATTGAGCCAGGATACCCTCGGCATCCTCCCGGTCCTGCCCAGTACACAGACCCGCGGTGTCCAGGATCTTCTTGTCCACACGGTCAGTGAGCAGGCAAAGCAGGCCGTGCGCCCCGGCCACACCTCGTTCCAGCTCCTTAGTGGGGATGGGCTCGTCGGAATCCCACTGCTCCACTTCACAGCTGAAGACAAAGGAAACACCACTCAGAAACAGAGAAGCCTTACAGGTGCACCTGGGGACTTTGATTTGCAAAGTCCCAGTCACATCTGCAGCACATTTTGCCTCTGCTTGCTCTGGCTGAGTAAGGGTCTGTGGTGGGCAGCCTTACAACAGTCCTGAGAGGGTGGCTGAAAGGTAAATGGCTGCCATAGAGTGGAGAATGCTGACAGGCTGTGGAACCACCCAAAGCAGAAAGGAGAAAGTCAGAGGAAGAGCTTTCTCACCCTCATGGGGCAGAGCTCCCAGTCCAGGGTCCACCAACTGATGGTAACAAAGGCCAGTGTGGGGGGCGAGGGGGTTTCTACATGGATTCCATGTCCAATTGTATGTCCTGGTCAGTGAGCCCATGAAATGGAAACTCTCATCAAGATCAAAGCATGATGGAAGAGTTTTAGGGTACACTTCCATGGCAGCCTGTGGCACTGGGCACGATGCCAGCCTCCCAGCCCTTGCCATTTATTCATACAGCCAACATGTATCAAGAACCCACATGTGCAGGACACAGGGTGGTGCTGACTCCCCTCCTAGAAATCTCTAACCATAAACCTTTTCTCAAAGCCATTGTGACAACAACTTCATAAGATAATGTTTACCTTGCCCCCTGGCTGTGACAAAGGTAACTCAATCGTGGGGCCTGTGGGGCCTGCTGGTACTTGGCACTAAGCCACCTCTCCCTCCATGGGGGTGCGGGGCCTTGCTCCAGGTCGTAAAGCCAGACTGCTGCAAGGCTGGATGAGGACCTACCCAGAACACTTTGCAACAGCCTTAATGGACACCTGGCCAATTAAGCCCCAAGCACAGGCCACTTCGCACCCTCCAGTCCATGAGCGTGACATACACACTATAGCAGTGTGACTACTGCCGTTATTACTACCATTGTTTTTGCCTTCACTGCCTCCCCCCTCACTCTCAGTTCACAGCAGGTCCTCAGCAAAGGATCTGTTGCATTGAACAAATAAATCTCATTTTCCCCAGGCACTGGTTTCTGAGGCTGGGTTCCACTTTCTTTTCCCGGCCTGACACTGGCAAAGCAAGTCTGTATAAGGCAGTGCTCAGACCCCAGCCCGACAGAGCTGAGTTCCAATCCCAGTTCTGCAGACAGGTATGACTTTTGGCCAAGGTACTTAGCCGCTCCCACTTATCTCACCTGTAAAATGGGAACTCCAGTAGTAACTTCCAGTGTTGCAAGGATTAAAAGGATTTATTTATATAAAGACTTGCCTGGCAAGTCTGACAGGCAGGGTTCAACTTAATATAGGTCACCAAAGTCCCCTGTTAACTGTCCAACGGTGGCTGCCAAGGTCCCTGACCCTTCCAAGTGACCTCGCAGAGTAAAACTTTAACAGATGGGCCCTTGTCTCCCCACTTTCCAGGCCCAAGACGGTAAGGGCTCCAGCCATTCCAACATCCCCACCCCCACCACAAATGGCGAGATAATTAGGTCTCCGCGAACTTTCTCTAAGCCTCCCTCAAACTCCAAGACCGTCGGGTACAAGCTGGAAAGTACAGCCAAGGTCAAAGCTCGGGATCCCTGTTCTCTCTGGTGCCTGGGAACACCCCGTCCTACTCCTCAAAGAAAAATGAGGGGTCTCCCTGGTGGTGCAAGGGGTTAAGCACCGCACTATGAAGCTGTCCGCAGCAGCCTCTGCAACTTGAGTTCGATCCCCGGCAGGCCAGGGGGCTACCCAAATGGCGCAGCAGACCTCTCCTGACTCGCCTGCTGCTCCCCTCAGCAGTGCACTTTGGTCAATCTGCCCATTCTGTTTCCCACTCTGTCTCTGGTGAATCGTCTCACCCCCCCCCCCCCGCACCTCTGGCCTGTACCCCAGCTCTTGTATGCATAAATAAATTAATCTTAAAAAAAAAAAAGAAAAATGAGTCCCCGGAGGCCCTCCCGAGCCCGCTGGGGTGCAGCCCTCCACGCCTCCGAAGAAAAGGCCCGCCCGGAGACGCCGATTCTCCTTGAGCGCAGGCCGCCGCGATGCCAGGGAGGTGCCCAGGGCGCGCGGCGCCTTCCCCCGCCCACCCCCGCCCGAGTGCCCGCGGGAGGGGTCTCGGCGCGCGGGCGCCCGACTCTTACTCTGCCGCCTTGGCCAGCGCGGCCCTGCCCTCCGGGGGGATCCTACGAGTGACGAACACCTTCATGAGTCGTACTGGCCTCATGCACCCAGCAGCTACTGGACACCGACCTGCCCCGGACCCCGCCGGCCGGAAGCGGGACGGGCTCGGGGGCGGGGCTAGGAAGGGGCGGGTCGGCGCTGGAGGGGGCGGAGCGGGACGCGGGGGCGGGGCCAGAAAGGGGCGGGTCGGCGCTGGAGGGGGCGTGGTGTGGCTCGGGGCGGGGCTAGGAAGGGGCGGGCCGGCGCTGGAGGGGCGGGGCGGGACGCGGGGCGGGGCCGGGAAGGGGCGGGTCAGCGTTGGAGGGGGCGGGGCGGGCGCTAGGGGCGGACACGCGGGTTTGCTGCTGTTCCTAGCTGTGTGTGTTCGGCCGGGGCAGTGACAGCGTGTCTTTGTGTGGGGTGTAACTGTGGGGCTTTGAGTGTGCGCCTTGTGCATCTGTGTGTGTGTGGTCAAGCCTAAATAAAACTGGTTCTGGTTCTGGGGTGATGTGGCCAGGATTGTGATTTGGCACGGGCCCCCAGCGCCTCCCTCTGAGCACCCACTGCCCCAGAGGCTCAGAGACTGGCAGGGGTGCTTGGGCTGGGGAGGGTAAAGAGGCACCCGGGGAGAGTCCTGTGTGAACATGTGTGGATGTCGGGCAGGCTGCTCTACTACTCTGTGTCTGTGTTGGGGGAGGGGATGCAGTCAGGACCTCATGCCCTTAGGTCTTTTCCTTTATGGTCACACTGCTCCAGGCAGGGGTGTTAGGGCACAGAGACCGGGATAAGCCTGGCCCTTGGTGCATGCACAAAAACTGACCAGGACAGTCTGATCTGGGACCAGTGTTTAACACTTGGTGCAGTTCCGCCCATGAAGCACACAGTTGTGAAAGAAAGTTAACTGGTCATGGGCCACCCAGCTTGCTAGACACCTGCTGACAGCTGGAGGCAGTCATGCATAGGGCCAGGACCAAGGTGCTGGGTAGGCCTGCATGGGGTCATGGATGAACCTGTGGTTGCAGTCAGACGGACCTGGGTCTGAATCCTGGCTCTGCCTCCTACAAGCTGTGTGGTTTGGTGAGTTCACATCATCTTACTAAGCCTCAGTTCCTTCAGAATGGGTCTCTGCAGGTTACTGTGATTCCCAAGCAAGCAGCATTTGCATTACCAAGATTGTAGAGGAGAGGTGACGGGCTCAGGTTCTGGAGTCAGGGTTTAAATCCCAGCTCTGCCACCCGTAACAACTCAGTAAGCTTCTGTGTGCCTCAGTTCCGTCATCTGTAATATGCGGATAATGGTAGTACCTGCCTCAGAGCTTGTTGAGAGGATGAACTATGTATAGTGCTTATGGCTACATGTAATACATGTTGTGGGTGCTTGGCAAATAGTAACACATCCAACAAAACCCATACCCTTGGGCCCTGGCTGGCAATTGGTCAGAGATGCAGATGCTGAAGCCAGGCTTAGGACAGGTGGGAGAGAACCAGGCCTGTCCCTCAGCTCTACTAGCTTCATTTCTGCCAGAGGCTGTTCAGGTACTTGTTCCCAGGCATGGGAGCACTCGGAGTGCAAAAATCCTGCATGTTTTTTCTTTGCTGACTTTACCTGAATCCATTTTGCTCCTGGGATCCTAAATAAGAAACAGAGACTGGCACAGAGAAGGGACATCTAGCCTGGACACACAGCTAGTCACTAGAGAAGCCAGAAACGGTCCACAGGGTTACCTGGACTCTAGCCAGTGCTCTACCCTGCCATCTCCCCTCTCCTAAGTAATACGTTAATGAATGTCTCATATTTACACTGCTAGGCCACCTTTGGGGCAATTTCTGAAATACCTCAAATATTGACCAAACCAGGTATTTTTCTGTCCCCAGGTCAGGCCCTCTGGGAGAAAGCACGGCCATCTGACTCCATCCTCTGTTAATAAGTGGTCACAACTGAGCCCAGCTCCCCCAGCTGGGCTACACTAGGAGAAAGGTCACCAGGCAAGCAGGTCCACCAGGGCAGCAGGGCTCATGATGCTTGAATGGTCCCCTTCCCTCAAGGCAAAGCTCAGTAAGTGCTACCAGTGGAGGCCTTGAAGCCAGAACACAGCGAGCTAAGAGCCCAGCAGGAGGGATCTGGTGAAGTGGTAGGGAAAGAAAGGGTTCAAACTGGAGAGGATAGGAGGCCTGATCTGGGCTTCCCTGGGTAAAACTGTGGGTCAAATAAGTAGCAAGATGTCTGGAGCAATTTCCAAGCATGTCCTGAGCACTGTACATGACAGAACATGATAACTCACGTCTCAAGCTCCTCCAAGTCACACTGTTGCTTACCTGGTGTAGGATAAGTGAAAAATTATCAGGCTTTTCTGCCTTCCCGCCATTAGCATTATGATGGATCCCTGCGGTCCTACACGCATGCCTGATGGCGGACACCTGGAGTAGCGTGTGGGCATGCATAGGTGGGCACACCTGGCTGAGACTGGGCTTATAAGGGCAGTGTCACGGAGACGCCAGCAGAGAACAAAAGAAGAGCAGCAGAACAAGAACGCAAAGCCACAGCAGAGACCCCAAGAGAACGGCAAAGAGCCCAGAAAGTGAAGACTCGCCGGCCTGGCCCCCCTCCCACCCCTCTGCCTTGTGAAAACTCAATAAAAGCCTGAAAAAGTCACCAAGGGCTCCAGGACTCTCCTTTACCTGTCGTCTGCCCTGTGGCGATCATAGAAATCCTGCTCTGTGCCTTGCTGGCGCTACACCTGGCTTTGTCACACAGTAACAAAGAGGCAGAGCTGGATGAAGCCTCTCTGACTCCAGAACCAAGAGGGTATCTTAGTCCATTCGGGCGGGTATAACAAAAATTCCATAGACAGGTGGGCTAAGCCAGGAACATTTCTTTCTCACGCTTCTGGAGACTAGGAAGTCCAGAATCAAGGCAGCGGCAGATTCCGTATCCCGTGAGGGACCATTTCCTGGTTTATAGAGAGTGTTCTTTTTGCTGTGCCCTTGACAAAAGAAGGGCCAAGGTGATCTCACTGGCGTCTCTCTTCCAAGGGCACTAATCCCACTCCATCCTCATGAAGGAGCCAAATGCTGTCCTGTGGGCAACGAGGATTTCAACATATGAATTTGCCGTGGGGGTTGGGAGATGCAAACGTTCAGACCCATAGCCTAAGGTGAAGGGGGAAGTGAGCTGTGACTTCTAGGTATTGACTTGGGAGCACTCTTGGAGGTAACTGCCACTTTGTCAATTTGACGGATCTCCAGGAGGGGCGCAGCCAGGAGAGGCTGAGTTCAGCTTGGTAGGAGGAGAGTGCCAGATGCCTGGGGGATGTCAGGTGGAGGAGACCTGGAGCAAAGAAGGCCACTGAGAGGTGGCAGCTGGAGCTGCTATTCCAGGGTCATGTGTGTGCAAGTGGGAGCCTGGGAGACACCTGGTGACGGAAGGGCAGGGCAACAACTCCGCCTGGGGACTGATGTTTATTTTTTTTTTAAGATTTATTTTATTTATTTATGCATACAAGAACTGGAGTGCAGGGCAGAGGTATGGTGGGGTGAGAGGATTCACCAGAGACAGAGTGGGGAGCAGAACAGTGGACTGACAGAAGTACACTGCTGAGGGGAGCAGTGGGCAGGACAGGAGAGGTCTGTTGTGCCATATGGGTCACCGCCCTGGCAGAGGATCAAATTCAGTGCTTCAGTAGCTGCGGATAATTTCACAGTGCTGACACTTAACCCCTTGAGCCACCAGGGAGGCCCCTGTTTCAGTATTTTGAACCATAAATAATGAGCAGCCCCTTTCATGGACATTTGGGCTGTGTCCACCTGTTATTATTACAACGCCACAATGAAAAGCCTTTGGCAGTCATTTTGCACATGTGCTAATATATCTGTAAGATAAATTCCTAGAAACAAATTACTGGGTCAAAAAAATACATGCACTATAAGCTTGGATAGATACTGATAAAATGCCTTTTAAAAGTTGTTCAACTTACTTTTCTACCAGTAATATATGAAAACAGTCTTTGTCCAGTGTATTTTTTTAAAGGCATCTTACTGTAATTTCAATTTACAGTTCTCTTATGAGCCAAATGATCACTTCCCATATATTTCAGAGCTGTGTTTGTTTCTATACGCTATCTATTGCTGCCTTTTGCCAATTCAGGGGAGCAGGACATCTCGTCTTAGTGATTTGTAAGAACAATTTATACAGTAAGGAAATTAGCCCTTTGTAATCTGAGTTACAAAGATGGTCTTTACCCCAGTTTGTTGTTTGTTGTAATTATTTTTAATGTAGAGAATTTTTAGTCTTATGGCTTCTAGGTTTTGTCATACACAGTATGACAGGTATCACTGCTGCATAGGAATTATTCTAAAATGCAGTGGCTCTACACAGCGATCACTACTATGACTCCGGAGGTAGCTGGGCTCAGCTAGAGCTTCTCTTTCAGGCTCTGTCATTCTGTATAGTTACAAGCAGGTTGGCTGGAGCCGCCTGCAGGCAAGCTCGTTTGTGGGTTGCTGACGCTGCCTGTGTAGCGCCTGGGCTGGGCTGCCACCGCCACCTCTCTGAAGGTCCTCCTGGTGGCCTGGACTGCCTCACAGCCTGGAGCCTGGGTTCTAAGAGACAGAAGAGACCAGCTTTCGTCTCTTAAGGCCTGAGCCAGACACGGTGCTGCATGTCCTCTGCCATATCCTGTGGGTCACAGTCACAGCGTCCCCATTCTAGGAGAGGCGCTGATAGAGCCCCATTGTTGCTGTTGTTACGATCTATTGCTTAGCTCTTACCTTCAGGACAGTGATCTCTGAGATGCAGACACCTACTCAGCAATTACTGCCTGTTAAACCTTACCTTGGCCTTCAGAACTATCTTTCCTAGCTTCCCCCAGCCATTTCTGTGCCAGATTTGAGTCATGCGATTTGCATCTACTGCCTTTGGGATCCTGCATTTGACAATAAAAGAGGGTGAAGTGCATTGCACAAATGACCTGTTCTGATAAAGTAAAGTGAGAGAATGAATAGACCCTACTCTTTATGGGGATAGCATGAAAGAATTTTGGGGTCATGTTTAAAACTGCCACACATAAAAAGGCATTTTTCACAGAAGGTTTAGTTTTTTAAAAAAAGGTATAGGGCATCCCTGGTGGC